ATATATATATATTTCGCAGTAATATTATATATATATATATCCCATGACATGTCACGGAAGGTTTTAGGAAAGATCACATTAAAAGTACTTAATCCTTGTACCAGTGTGTACTTGATGTACCTCGGTATATTAAACATTCCAGTCCTGCGATGTTGTATTAGTTTCTTTAATTAGTTACTGGGTGCGACATCTAGCAAACCAGGCGAAACTCCAACTCTCACCTGCGTCTGTTGTTTCAGGAAATGTCCATGGAGAAAACCTTGAACGGACACATCGTTCCAGAGGTTTCCATCTAAGGCTAGAGCCACGGGACGGTGCTCGGCAGACGTTCCTTCTCTTTGTACGTCGGTTCTCGTCTGTAGTAGTTCTAAAATGACACACGCGCGTCATTCTTCAACAACAACTGACGACGCGTGTCGTTTCTTCTTCTCTGTTTCAGATTTCCGGTCACCATTTTCGAAGACTGAAGGCTTTAGGCAGAGTTTTGTCGTAGACTTTGTGTTTGTATGAATGTCTTTGGACGGAAGTGTCGGAACATGTCGAAGGATCGTCAGTTTTACTATGTGCCTTTTCTGACGCCGTTCCCCGTGAAAACCAAACCAAAATCAAACGTTTACCGGAAAAAAGTTCGCAGTTTACAGTTTGCAAAGAAAAAGCAGATAGAAGGCGACTTTAAAATCTCTATTCCAGATTCATGTTCAGTGAATAAGCATGACAACTGGAAATGAACGGCAGTGGCTGGTAATCTTTTTTTTAATCTCTCAGAAAATCTGCTTCATTTTGAACAACAATCACACCTTATTCACACCATCACAAAAATGATCAAAAGAATATATTAATTATTGCGTCACATGTTATGAGTCACCCCCATCCCATCTGATTCACTATATAATAGACCTTACATTATTGCAGTGCATCGACCAACCTGTTGATGGCTTCACTGTAGAAATTAAAAGATTAAGTCGGGTTTTTTTTAAAAGGATTATTTCCACAATGCTTCTTCTGTTTGTTTTGTTTTTTTAATGTGTTTTGTATTGACTTTAAGATGTGCTACGTCTTTCTTGCTCAAAGATCGGGCTCTGGATGAGGAAAAAAAAGGATCTGGAACTGATTTTAATGTTGTTCTAATTCTATCGTACTTGAACCAGTAAAGATGTACCTCATCAGAATGAAGTTTGTGGTCTTCTTTTTTACAACACAGGAAATGACAAACACTATATTAAGAAACGACATTGTAGTATTTCGTAACAATGAATCTCATTTTATTTGACTTAAGTATTTATTTATTTATGTATTAACTTCAAATATAGGTCTCATGACGTAGTAGTGTTGTCTAAAATCCAAATGACTGCATAAGGTCAAGGGTAAAGATGAAAACATGTATTTAAACTGCCGAAGCAGGAGGCCTCGTGTTCCAGTAGATGGCGCAGTAATACATAAATGAGAATCTATGGCCCAGACTTTTTATTTAGCAAACTATACACATACTGTGTATCTGTGCTAAAGACAGGGATCGCTGCAGTGTCTTCAGTGTCTGCAGTGTCTAAAGTAAGTTTTAATACATAAAAGCTTGATTTAAAAAACAAAAAGTTTATGCGACTGCGCAGCAGTTTTAGTCAGGTATATATAGATCTTTATTGATCCCAGGCTGGGAAATTACAGCAGCAGCTTGACAAAATAAAATATTTGTATTGGGTTTTCTACCCAGAAAAGTAAAATTCTGACTGTAATAGAAAAGGTTTTCAAGAAAATCGTAAAAAAAAAAAAAAAAAAGACCAAAATACAAAATCAAAATAAATTCAACCAAAATACATATTATCAACTAACACATACATTAATATTCCACATTATTATTTTTTATAATGCAAAATGAACATAATGTGGTTTAAAGACGTAGCCATAGACTTTTTTTAACGTATAAAAACACGTCGCACTTTCTCCCTCACATGACTGCGTCGTGTCCTTTCCGTCACTGCTCTTTGCGGAAGTCAGCAGCTCTGTGTGGCGGCGGCCTCGTCAACCTAGCAACAGGAAGAGGATGTTTGCCCCCCGACAGAGGACAATATCACCTGATCCGAATTGTTTATAACACGCTTTCTCGTCGTACACATTTCTTTCTATTTTTTTTCTGGGGACGGGTTTTCACGACTCTTTCTCTCACCTGGAGCCGGCCGGCTGTGCGTCCGAAGCCGGGCACTGCGGAATAACATGTCTCTGTTCCAGTCAGCACTGGATTTCCTCTCCGGGCCCGGCTCGTCTGGAGCGGCCAGCCGGGACCAGAATGACTTCGTCGGACAGATGGTCGAACTCGGCGACTTGAAACTGAGGATAAAACGGGTGATCGCTGAAGGTGAGTTGGTTAAAATATTAGGAAATGTTCCCTGTGGCTAATCGTGCTAACTAGCTCATACAGCTAGCAGGCTAACACAAGTGACAAACCTTTATTTTATCAGTAGTAATGGCGTTAATGAGTGCATAGCTATGAGTCACAGAGAAAACACGGTTGCGTGTTTATAATTTTGTTTCGTCTTATTGTTTTTTTTTTAATATACAAACACACATTTTGTAAATACATAAGTATTTACATGAAATTGTTTTTTTTTTTTTAAGTGACTACTGTTATTTACCTCCTATCAAACCTAGTACAGTAACGTCTTCCTCGGTAACAGTCATATGTCAGAATTGTCCAGAAAAAAAAGGACGTGCTGCGAATAAAATGTCAGTCATTACGGTTTTCTTTTCTACTCGGATCTTCATGAGAGCTGAGTCTGTGGTCTCTCATTTTATCACCTGTAGATCTATGATACTACGATTCTCATTGCAAAAAGTGCAAATTGTCACGTTAACGGTCATGCGTCACTGATCGCCAAGTGTAAAAATGCACTAGTACTTGCGGGTTGTACTAGTATTGCTTGTATTTAAATTATTGCTGCAATTCCTGTGAAGTTGACCGGAACTTGTTGTGAAATATGTCACTGCATTTTAGCGTTTGTTAGCATGAAAGTTTTTGATCTGCAGTACTTCATTTGTCTGCGTCCGAACCTTCTGGAATAGTCCGGCTCTAGATTCGTCTGTAGTGGACTTTTGTTCATCTCATTTTTCAACAAAAATATACAATAATTGAATTAAATGGCAAGTTTAATTGGTACGTGACACCAAGGCTAACCACGGCTTCCCGAGAATAAACTGAAGTTACTGAGATCATTTTTACAACAGACATTTCTTCAACACAGACATTGTTGTATTTATATTTCAAAATAAGTACTGGTAGAGTAGAATCCTTGGCTGCAACCAAATGGACGTACTATAGACAAACGTATTTTTTATTCCTTCTGGAATGCTGTCGTAATCAGAGAAAGGAAAATGAAGCTTTTCAGGTTTCATTTCTTTGTTCGGAAGTCCCAAAACAAAACACAGGAAGTCATATGATGCCTTCAGGGACAGGTGTGCTGTCGAAAAGCAAAGTTAGTGAAACTGTTGAGTTGATTTTAAGAAATATTCAGAACTAAAAAATAAATAAAAATGAACCGGCTCACAATTGGAAGAACCTTCAGAGTATTAAGTGTGGTTTTTTTTTTTTTTTTTTTTTTTTAGGGCTTCACTCAACAAACCAAACTTGGTGGTTGATTTACTCGGCTCCACATTAACCTGCTCCTTACTTTGAACAGTTTGCTGTGTTAATGTCTCATGTTTCTAGCTCAGTTAAAAAGGCAGGGCCACAGATCTTTGTCCCATTTATAGGTTATTTAATACTAACATTTTGGAATTTCAGCCAACTGTCCTCAGCAGATCAGATGTCGGACACACCTTTCTGTGAAGAAATATGAATCAGATATTTACTAGATCGCACAGCCGCCATTAGAGCCCTACATTTTTTTTGTAGGCTAAGCTAATGGGGTAGCTTTGTTTTTTTAATGCATGGTTAACGTTAGTTGGCACTAGCACCCTCCCCATCAAAATTCCAGGTGGCGCTATATTGAATCATCTGGTCAACAATTTGAGTTGTTTTATTCTTCAAAGGCTTTTCTGTTAACCAAGATAGAGTATAGCCAGTGGTCAGAAATGTATGAAATGCATAGTTTTTTTTGAGTATTTCTTATTCTAAAACTGGTATTTGTATACATAGTTTCCCACTACATATCCTAAACAGTGGCATCTACCCCAATTCAGAGTTACTCTTACTGTACCATAAATAATTAACATACTGACGTGTCTCAACCCATGGGGCGGTGCTCAATTTATCATTAAACAACATCTGTTGTTGGGTTGTTGTAGCTCATAAGTTTAACACCTCGTAAGGTTTAAGTACTAAACATCCTGACTATCTCTGCTGAAGTCAGCTTCATTTTTGTTAATGGCAGAGTCAGCGAATCCCAGCATTTTCTTAGTCTGTGTAAAAATTAAAAAAAAAAAAAAAATCAATGGAGACAGGATCATGTTATAAAATAATTATGAACAGTCATGATGTCATATAATGTCACGTTTATATGGTGAGCAGGGCTTAACAGCAGTGTCATACACACATCCTGAATGAGACTGACTTCAGCAAAGGTGGGAGTTTGGATTTTGACCTAAATGAGTCTGTTTGAAGGCATGTGTATCAGACAGATGCTAGGGGTGCTGATTACGACAACTACATGCATTATTTTCCATGTTGTGTCTTCTCAGGTGGATTTGCTTTCGTGTATGAAGCCCAAGACATGAGCAGTGGCAAAGACTTTGCTCTAAAGGTACACACACACACACACACACCTACTTTTGAACATCAGATACCCTCTAACTCAGTGGGGACCTGGAACATGTCCCCACTAGGACAGAATTTTGTTCATGTCCCCACTAGTATAGCTATACCAAACATGCACACATACTCATATCTATTCTTATTAGAGTCATAGTTTTGTCCACATTTGTTAAGTCTTCATCGCAGTACACACCAGTACTATGGTGTCAGTAGGTCATTTGGGCAACGTTATGAACATCCGACATCCACATGAGATTTGAACCACAAACCTTTAAAATAAGATGTGACATGTTTTTACGCTCGTGTCTGTCTTTCAGAGGCTGCTGTCCAACGACGAGGAGAAAAACAAGGAGATCATACAGGAAGTCTGCTTCATGGTACTCATTTTTGTTTTCAGACCGTCGTGAAAGACTCTTTGTTTTCGTCAAATCCTAATGCAGTGTCTCTGATCAAAGCCGCGTTTTGACAATGCAGTAGGATTAGCGACAGACCATCATTACTGCTGTTTACATGTGGACAATAAACAATTTACCTGCAACAACGTGCCGGGGGGGGAGATTTGAATTTGGTGTCAATGTTTAAACTCGTGTTTTGGTTTGGCTTTTCTATGACTCTGTTCTGTATCTTTTCCCAGGAGATTAGCATGTTAGCATAGCATGACATAACATAGCATGTTTGATAAATCTATACAGGCGAGAGACCACCAATAATACACACACATGTTGTTCACTGATTGAGTCTGGGTAATATATATATATATATTTATGTGTATTATAATATATATATATTTATATATATGTTTGCATATATATGTGTGTGTATATATTTATGTATATATGTATGTATGTGTGTGTATATATGTATATATATACATATATATTCATATATATATAATTTTATGTTAATTTATTTCTTTATTTAGTCATTTTGTGTCATTTCTGTTAAATATTCACCTGTGTAGTTTACATGACATCTGTCCTTTTGACCTCCATAGAAAAAGCTGTCAGGTCATCCCAACATGGTCCAGTTCTCCTCCGCTGCGTCCATCAGCAAAGACGAATCTGACACTGGACAGGCCGAGTTCCTGATCCTCACCGAGCTGTGTAAAGGTACACACACACACACACACACACACACACACACACACACACACAGGGTTTATACTAATCGGGTCAGAGACGGGGAGAATACAGGAAGTTTTGTGCAAATATGACCTGATTAAACTCTGTAATTGGGCCACATGTAACGAAATACAGACCACACTTTCATGATGCCTGTACTTGTCACACGTCCAAGTACTCGAGTACACAGACAGACAGTCAAATGATGATTACAATTAGCCCCGATAGAAGAGAATGTTATAAACATTAAAATAATCCTAGACCTAAATAAAACTAAACAGAAATGAAACTGTACCTGTAGTTTCACATCCTACTGGTCTGTCTACTGCCTGCTGTCTACTGCCCCCAGGGTGTCACCTAGTCAGTGCAGTCACTTTAACTTAACTGAAAGACACGATGATGAAACACGTCCTGTCTGGGACCTTCTTTTTTTTCTGTTCTGTTTCCTGCAGTTTCTATTCAGAAACTGCAGTCGTTTGTCTTTCCTTTAAAAAAAAGAAAGAAAAAAAATCAGTATTATTCTGGTGGACCCTGAATCCACAGCTTTCCAGTGTGGGCTGTAAGACCCTATCATAAAAAAAACGTCCTGTCCACGGCCCTCAGATGGTTAAGGACGTAGTATTTTTTTTTTTATTATTATTTGCTGGAAAAGTTTTATTTAGCAGATCCGTAATAGCGGGTGGTAATGGCATCACTGTCAAACTTCAGACATACAGTTTTTTTTAATTAGTGTAATTATCGTTGATTTGACTTAATTGTCTTTTCAAAATAAAATCTCACAGTATAAGAAACACAGGGTATCGTAGTTCC